GTTGCAATAACACATGTAAAGTTCATTTGAAGCGTGATCTATTAGTGCGTTTACATATATATTGAATAATTTTTAATATTATTTAATTAAATATTAATAGACGATCTCGTTCTTACGATATTTAATTGTCGACGTTGACCGGTCAACGTCCGCCCGGGTTGAGTTTCAATTCTGGGTCCGCCACTGATCGAGTATGATGATGGAAAATGTGACAAAAATACCAGACGAAATGAGGATGGAAATGACCAACCCGTCTCATATCCGCTCTATTGCGAATCTTATGCATCAGCACTTTTAAAGATTTTTTAAATGTTTATAAAAGTCTCGATTGTTTCAAAGATCAAAGAGTATCAAAAAGACTATCACCCTATTTGATTCACATTCTTAAAAAAAAATATTTTTTCAAAACTCATTTTCAATCACACATTTTTCAATAAAATTATATTACACGTAAATTCAAAATTATTCCTTATTTTTTAACCACATATTATCCTCACATCACATCATAAAATACATTTTATTCTCAATAATGTGCATCAAACACCTCTTATAAATGCCTAATATGTAGACATTGAAATTTACNTTTAAAATGCATTCTCCACTCAATAATGTGAATCAAACAGTGCCTATATAAATAACCTCTAAATTTATAAAATCTCAAAAAATATTGAAAAGTTACAATTGAACACACTTTTATAAGCCTGCCTTTAACCTCGCAAACTGACTGGAAGTAGGTAGGTGAATAGGGGACGCGGTCAAAACTGAAGTTACTGAAGAAGAAAGAAAGAACCAGAAACTCAAACCCTCTTTTTCATTTTTTCTCTAAAAATATATAAAATAGAAAATGACACTGAAACATGAAATGCATTTGCGCAAGCAGTGTCAATTTTAAAAACCCTCTTTTTCTTTCTTTATCGTCTCTGTTCGACTTCTTTGTATATAAACATCAGTATTTGTTCACTTTAAAAAAATCAAGAAAAAAAAATCAGCGTTTACTAGTATTTTTATACGATTTTAATAATAATTTGTAATAAAGATTAGTTTTTTTTCAATTCTTTTGAGTTTTTAACACACATCTCGATTTCACATCAACAAAATTAACAAGCAGTTTGTGTGTGTGTGTATATATATTTCTCGAGAAAGGCGANTAATTTGTAATAAAGATTAGTTTTTTTTCAATTCTTTTGAGTTTTTAACACACATCGCGATTTCACATCAACAAAATGAACTAGCAGTTTGAGTGAGAGTGTATATATATTGCTCGAGAAAGGCGAAGAGGAGAGATAAAATGATGTCGGGATGGAGGAGATTAAGAGACATAGCATTGAAGGGATCGAGGAGAGGTAACCAGCACCAGTTGCAATTGCAGAAGCGGGATTTCGTGAATTGCCTTCACGTGGGCTCTTTTGTGAAACGGAGGGAGTCTTTGATTGGAGTGCAGGAGAGGTACAAGTGGAACCGCGGAAGCGCTGGCGATGAGTATCAAACTCGGAAACTTAAGGCTGAGGCCAATTGCCCGCGTTGCTCCAAGCAAATGGATCTACTCTTTACAATCCGCCCCCATAACCTAATTCCACCCTCTTCCAATCCCAGTTCCCCCTTCGATTATATCGATGCAACTTCTATTATTACCACTAATAATAGTGATAATTCTACCGCTGCACACACTAATGATAACAGTAATAATAGTAACTCAAAAGATGGAGGTGGAGGTGGAGTTAATGCTTTCCAGGCGTTGAATCTGTGCCCCAATTGTAAGATGGCTTATTACGTTAGGCCATACAAGATGTCGCCTCTTCAGGGAAGTTTCATTGAGATTGGGACTGTCAAAAGCAAGAATTCAAATTCGGAAAAGAAATTGGCGGAAGCTGAAGATTATGGGAAGAGGATTCGAGCTTCGTTTTGGGAGACCTTGAAGTCATATGGCAGTGAACCACCAGAGAACTGGCCGCCTCCTCCACCTCCATCTGGAAATGGGCTTTCAGTGCATACACCACCTGGACCTCCTTTTGCTCCTGGCGTCAATCTTATTCGGGCATCAGGTAATGGGGGCAATGGTGGCAGTGGAAATGACAGTCGCAATGGTGGTGGTAATAATGGAGAGAAAAGCAGCTGGGGTGGGTCTAATCTGGGTAAAAATTTACCCACGCCAAAGGAGATTTGCAAGGGACTTGACAAGTTTGTCATTGGCCAGGAACGAGCTAAAAAGGTCCTCTCTTTGTTGCTTCAATATTTACATTCTTTCATTGATTATGCATACAACTCTATTTGATTGTCGACACCCAAAATATACTCATATCATAT